ATTAATAGTTTGGTTTTGTACACATGAAAATGCGTGTTAAAGTCAAAATATTAAGGTATACGTTTTCTAGAAGTTTATTGAACACGAGAAAATTTTTTATAACTTTATAAGAAAAAAGTACTTAACTGTCCAAAAAAAATAAAATAGAGACAACTTCCTCCACGGTCATCCTGACAGATATTGGTGAGAAAAGATTGCTGGATACCGCAGGATAGACATGGAGAACAAAATCCTTTTTTTTTCAACCCAAAACAAAATTCTGCCAGATCTCGTAGGAAAACACTTGTGGATAGAATAAGTCAAAAAGTCTTGCGATGTTTCTTAACTTTACGCAGGATTTTTTTCACGTTAATCCTCCATAAACTATGCAGGATTCTGCCATGGCCGGCAGAATAAAAATCCCGCGTAAAGGTAAGAAACATCGCCAGATATTTTAATACCGATAACCCACGGGATCCTGCGCAAAGTCCTGCGGGATCCTACATGGATTTTTGATTATTTTTTTCAGTGGGCACTAGACAGCATCGAATATTTATTCCTTCGATAGAAACTTTATGAACATACATGGAGAAGATCTTTTTAGTTGAGTAGAAATTGAAATAAATTAAAGAAACTGGGAATGGCATTAACGTAATTCTGCGTCGACCATTTAGCATTTTTTTTAACGAAAATAGAAGTTTCGAGGAATAAGAAAACTTAATAAAATTGCGCTAACTAAGATAAATATTTGGAATGTTTTATATTAAATTTCCTATTTTCGCTACAATAAAAATGTGTTTTGAAAGATAAGCAACTTGTGATTAATCAGCGTGAAAACTACGATATTATCATGTATAAACGATAGAATGTTCTCTAATACTTAATTTTTCTGTTGCACATATCGTTACGTTTGTCTATGGCTTCGCCGGCTCACTTTGCTACCAGAGTAAACGTTTGTCACGTTATTTTTACGTTTTGTTTCCTTGTTTTTGTGATAAGTTTTGAAAAGTAGATATTTGTATTTTTATCATATTTTCTGAACGAAAGGTTGTATGGAACACGGCTGCATCTCAACATCCTCAGCATACTTTGTCAATTTGAGACAATCCTAGAGCTCTAGACACCTCATTGTTCGAAAATTATAAAAGAAACAAAATGCAAAAATAACTCTGATAAGCACGGTGAGCCGACAAAGTCGTCTAATTTTGTATTTAACGTGTTTAGTTTATTCATAACAATTAAAAACACAAAGTTTCATTTTGGTTTGCATGCTCCTAGTTGAGATGCTCAGTTGTGTCTGACACTTGTTAAATAGTCGATCTTCTCGAGATTCATTGTTTCTATCGAGGTAAGCAAAAAATTACTGAAGACGCCCGCCATGACCAGTCCGGAATGTCCGTACATCCGGTCAGGACTACTTTGGAACGTTCCTTTCGCTCGTCATGACTAGTCCAATTTTTAATAAATGTCCGTATAACCCGTCTAGACTGATCTGGAATGTCTCTTCGACCCGTCATGACTAGTCTGTTTTGTCCGCTATACCCGTCCAGACTCGTCCAAAGAAAAAAAAGATGATATGAATAATTCCATAGTCTTAGTTCGAACCATTACACCGTCTGCGCAAAGAAATTGATATCATAATTCTGTATAAGACTGAATAATTTACAATGTTATCAATGATAGTTTCATGAAGAAACTTAGACTCCAAATGTAGCCGGTAGTAAGAAATTGGAAAAATTGTCCTTATAATTTAATTTTTTCACCCAAACGTTAGGTAAAATTAGAGTGTATTTAACTGAAAGAAATCTCTTAGAAAATACAATCAATCATTATCTAGATCAAACATAAAAAGAGCATAGGCCGAACGCGTCTACATAATCTGATGAACGAGGTATACTCTGGTTCAAATTCATCTGCCAGAACTAGTAGAAAAAAAATTCGTCTTCATGTTCACTTCTGCGACTGACTCCTCTACGCATAAGTCTATTTTTATTTTTGATCATAGTCTATATACGATTTCGGTATATATCCTCTCTTGCCATTAATCGTTCCTTTTATCCATCCAGTTCCATGAAGATCATTAATCTTTGTTACTGTCATATTTTTATCAAATGACAATTCTCTTTTTACCTCTTTTCCTTGACATACGAAACGAGTTGTGGCACTTTTATGACGTTTACCCCACGGCATTGCCAAATAACCGCTTCGTGAATGAGGCGGTTTTGGTGGTGGAATATCATTTCTCATACGAATCGATAATGTAGCACTTTTTAAACGTTCTGGGAGATCACTATTGTTGTTCTCAAGTGTTGGATAAATGGACGTCATTTTCTGTTGTTTTAACTAGATGCAAATAGAAGAGCGTATTACAGTTATAAGTCAATCGCAAAAAAACAAAATGTTTACACCATCTACTTTTTGATGCAAGAAAATGAATACTTATATTTACATTATTTTCCTCCTATTCTTAATAACAGTAAACGTGTGTTAATGTTTCAAAATATTGTCCACTTTTCACATTTTTCAACATGTGTGTCCTGGTATGTCAATAAAAGAGAAAAAAACTGTATAACGTAAAATGTGAGATAAAACGTTTCTCTTAAAAATTTTGGTAATTTAATTTTAGATGATTGTGTATATTAGTAGTACATACATCGTTCATCAGATTGTTGAGACGCGTTCAGCCTATGCGCTTTTTATGTTTGATCGATATAATGATCTTATTTTCTAAGAGATTTCTTTCAGTTAAATACACTCTAAATTTATCTTAACATTAAAAATGACTATTCATCAGATCGCCAAGGGTGTTGGTGGAGCTAGTTTATCGAAATGTATTGAATTAGACCATGTGTAAGCTGTTTCTGGTTACCAAATCACTTTTTTTCTGAAGAAAACTTTCATGAGCTTTCAAATCTGTATAGTCGCAAAGTGAAATTAAGAAATAGTCATCAATGCACTTAGAATCCGTAGTCCAACCTCTACCACATTTGTTACTGGTTCACAGAAACAAATAAAAAACTTATCCCAAATTCCTGTGATTGTTGCCACGTAAAACCTCTACGTTAGCACAAAAAATCGA